GACAGGCTGGGGGACTGAAGTAGCGGTGGGAAAGAAAATGTAAAAGTTAGACTAGTTGAAACAGTACAAAGTAAAGCATTACCGGCAAAGATAATGGAAACTAGACGCGGTTTATTTGTCAACAACCAGAAAACCTCTGGCTGGGAACATCCGAAATTATAACCGAGATTAATTGGCAAAAGAGAGCTTGAGCCGAGCATCTGCCATTTGGGCTATTCAGCACCCGTCTTATCCGCTGCGATTCGGGATACCTAAGGTTGGTTGGTTAGTAGCCTATGGTTGGATCAGGAGTCCCCGCCGGAGTCCAAACTGGGTGCATTTGGGAGACGGAGAAAAGCCGCGACCACAGCCGGCTTGAGACCTAAGGTTGGTAGAGAGTGTTGCCTATCGAGTTATCTTTCTAACACGATGAAATACGGGAATTCAACATTTGCTTTGCGGTTAAACCCAAAGTCATCACAAGTGTACATATGGCGTTTGGATCTCGCGTAGGCAAGAACATTCACAATAAGTGGAAGCCATTACAGCCTGACCCTCAGTCATAAGAAGGACACAGTTAACCCACCAAGCCATGACATTTGACGCTTCATGATAGATTCAGGAGCATAAGTTTAATTATAGTAAGGTATGTTATCGCTCAAGACCACCAAACACACTGTGACGATGGAAGCGAGAAGGTTTTCGAAACGCCAGTTCAAATATAATTTGGTCCACGAACCCGCCCCCTCTTTTCCTTCCTACCCTTGGTAGATGATAAATGCGATAACATATCAGGACCCCGAATCCTTCGGCACATAAGTAAGGTAGTGTGTAGACGTGCCGTGAATATTGATTCTCCAGGGCAGGTCACAGCCCCTACTCTTTCTCCTATGCACTAGTGGCTTCTTCGAATCAATTTAACTAGGAACAAGACGAGGCACAGTTAAACACCTGTCCCTAGATCGCCTGGTGAAACTCCACTTACCAGGCTGTGCCAGATAGCACGTGTCCTACATAAGTGGTGTCTGAAGACAGTTTGACCGTCGATTCTGACTATGACCGCCGCATGCTTCACAACAGGGTG